TGGATTTGAAGGCGCCCTTGTATGACTTACAAGGAACAGTTTTGGCGCCCTTTCCCCAGCAATTAACATCTACTCTGTGAGGGAAAAGTGAAGAGAATCTTGCGTATACGGCAAATGCGAAACGGGTCACTTTCACGTAGAAACGGAAAAGTGCAGCCGGCAAACGTGAAAAATAGCGGGGAAAACAAGGTCACGTGGTCATTCTTGCCGTTCACGTTTCACGATAACGCGGTGCTAAATCTCTCTAATTCTTAAAAACTTCCACCGATGCACTTCATTTATTTTTAAGAGGAAAATCTCTGTTCAATTTTAGAAGGCTGGTGATGCATTTCCTTTTTAGCTGTAAAAAAGAGATGCATCACTAGGCTTCTAAAATTTAGCAGAAATTTCATCCTATAAAATAATAAAGAAAAAAAAAACAAAGAATAGGTGGATGGGCGGGGCCTCAAGCCCCTGGTAGTGATAGTTGTAAAGAAACAACTCAAAGAAATCGACGGCGGGGATATGGCCGTCGACGCCACAGTGACGTTGAAAGATCTCGGCCAAATTATATTTAAAATAGGTTCAGATGTATTGTTTGGTGTAAATAAGTGTAAAATACTTCATAGATAATAACTACAATACACTAGGGAGCCCAAAAAAGCGAGTACACCAGAATTAGCATATACAATAACATTTATTATTCTGCATAAAACAATTTTTGTACTCCCTACATGTGTTGTTCTTCGTCTTAAAAGTTTTATAATTTTTTAAAAACCATTCCATTTTACACACAACAAGACGATGAAACCTTTATTTGACTCAAAAAAAATTTCGACGATGATCGTAGTTGTTTCTTCCTTTGTCCCTTTTTCTTACTACAGTTAGACAAGGTTCGACAACTACAGTTAGACTTTGAGAAATTTGAATACTACAGTTAGACTTGGAAAAAATTCCACATTTCTATTACAATAACACTTGGATAAAATTCGACACTTTTTCGTACTACAGTTAGACTTAGAAAATTCGACAATTAGACTTGGACAAAATTCGACATACCTTTTTCTTACTACAGTTAGACTTCGTCAAAATTCGACATTGCTTACTAAAGTTAAACTTCGTCAAAATATGACACTTCTTTTACTTACTATAGTTTGCTTTGAATTCATTTACATTGCTTACAATAGGATTCATACATTAAATGCTTCCTTTGAATTTACAACGACTATTTCATTTTGCAACACGCCAGAAAGTTATTGAATATTCTTATTTTACTCTTCATCTCTAATTCTAAACCATAACGATCACTTTACTTGTTTGCAATTGTTCATATCTTCTGTAGCTCTCTTTCTCCGGTTGTACCTGTAAATAAAAAAGAATTCAACATGACTACACAAGCAGTAGAAATCTCAAGGGGAAAAAATATACCACCTGTTGTTTTCATTAACAATCGAAGCGAACCTATTTCTAGGTCAATTTTGCCTTCCCCTGTTACCAAAAGTCACCGTGATCTAGCGGTAGTGCACAATGTTAAATGGAACGACGGCCGTATCCCCGCCGTCGTTTAATTTAAGTAGCAACTCCAGGGGCCTTAAGCCCCGTTAGTTAGTTTTTCTTTTTTTCTAGTTTAAACTACTAAAAACGACGGCCGTATCCCCGCCGTCGTTTAGTTTAAGTAGCAACTCCTGGGGCCTTAAGCCCCGTTAGTTAGATTTTCTTTTTTGCTAGTTTAAACTACTAAAAATTAGTTTAATTTTAAGAGCTTGGAGAACTTTCTCCCCGAAAAAAAGTCCTCAAAGCTTTTAAATTTAAACAAATTTTTCTCTTTAAAAGTTACATACAAAATAAAAAAAATCAAAAGCTCGTTAAGGTTACAAAATGAATCAATGATCGCCGTGGTGCAAAATAAACGAAAGTATTTATTGCACCCTCGGTAAATTAAAAAACGAGGACCTTTGCATTTATTTTTAAAAAATTGAAGTACTAAAACGAAACATAGTTTATTAAAAATGACATTGTGCAAAGTATAAAACAAGCCGAACCGTTCGAAAATCTTTGCAACGTTAAAAATTGTTAATCATAGAATCTAAGATTTAGCAAAAAATTCTTGCATTTACTGAATAGAGAGATGCAGAAATGAACATGAACCCTAAGCATAGTTTTTATACTTTTAAATACAAAAACATCTTCCAAGAACTGCAAACAGATAATTTTGTAATATTATTACTTGTTACTACACAGTGTTATACTCTTAAGTTATTGTAACATACAGTGTCTATACGCCACATAAGTCACCCTGTTTTACATGATATTCATTTGAAATTGTTCTTTGCTTAGAAGACAAAGTCAATCTAAACTCATCTGCATCCTCCAGTCTTATTTATGCAAGTTGAAAGTCAAGCCACCATCTGTGCAGAGTTTGAGAGCTTTTTCTGTATTTCTTTTGTTTTAGTTGTTGTCATACTGATTGTAGAGCTACAGTATTCCAAATGAGGATAAGAGAATATCTCTATCTTCACCACCCTGATTTCCTATTGAGCAAGATTCAGGAATGAAACCCCTCTTTAGTAAATAGAATATGAGAAAATTTTTAGAATCTTTAAAATAAATCAATGCTTTCTTGTGATAAAATTTGATCTCCAGAGATAAGGAGATTTTGTTTTCCTAAAGTCAAGCTTAAATGCTTTTTGCTCTCTCAGATAACTGTTTGAATAATTTCTACATGGCACATGTGATCTAAAGGGTTCCCTTTTATTAACTGGATATAAGGCCAAATTTCATAGAAATACAATTCTGTAAACAAGTACCCCTTTGAAGAATTCTTTACATTGGTATCATTAGTATAAAACGTGAACACATTTTTAGTTATGAGTGAGCGAGGCCAAGGATCAGAAATAGTTCTTCCTAACTGCCTTCACATTTACAAGAAGACCGAAAAGGATTTATTCTATCAAAATGCACATTTTACAGTTGGGCTGGCCCACAGATAGTTATGCTAGTCTAGGCGCACCAGTCTATCAATTGTTAGAAAAGCTTTTATTATTACTATGATAACAGAAAAAGTACGGAAAGCACAAGTAAAGAACTAAGGGGTAATTAGATTTAATAGATAATATTTTGGTGCTACTACTACATGCATTTTAATTTAGAAATGATCTTATGAACCTCAGTGAAGGAATCTTCATCTTTGAGAACACTTTGTAGTTTGTTTTTAATTCTGAGTTTGAATGATTTCTTTGGTAGCTCTCTCAGAAAACCTTGGTATCTCATTCCATAGTTT